GGGTTTAGGAGTTCAGGAGTTTAGGGCTTAGTGTAGGAATTACGTTAAAGGGGTTGGTTTGAAGAGTATGGGCTCTTAAGGGTGTTCCAAAAACTAATTGAAAGCTTTCTAGGATTATCCTGGAGAGCCCCCGTTGAAGAGAATTCATGGAGCTATGAAAGACTTGCAAAATTTGCTGCTTGAAAACTTCCACTGAGAAGTTGCTGGCGACAGACATGCGTGCCACTTTAGGTCAGTGACCGGAATTCGGAATTCCTGTCACCGGGGAAAGTTGCTGCATACAGACAGCAACTATGGCGTTTCAGGTAGACAGTAAGGTTGCAGTTCAGGATTCTAGGCCAGTTATCCGAAGAATGAGTATGCTTATGCAGGAATAGTAGCTTTCATCAAACTTGCGAGGTCAAGGGTTTGCAAACCCCAGAACCCTAAAGCCCTAAACCCTAAAACCCTAAACCCTAAAACCCCAAAGCCCTAGAGCCCTAAAGCCTGAAGTAGGGTCTTAATAAGGAACTTGTAGGCTTTTAAGTTTACAGCCCCGAAGCTTTAGGAGATACCGCTCCCGGAGATGAGGTACTATGAGAAGGTTCGGGAGTTTATGGTTCGGAGTTTAGGGTTTAGGGTTTAGGGGTTCAGGGTTTAGGGTTTAGGGTTTAGGGTTTAGGAACCCTAAACCCTAAACCCCAATTGTGGCTTTGAGCTTAGGGCCATCTTTGGGGCTCGGGGGTTTAGGGTTTATGGGTTTATGGGTTTAGGGTTTAGGGTTTAGGGTTTATGGGTGTTAGGATTTGCACAGCATTGAGCTCCGGATTGAAGTCTCACAAATCTGAGTTTGGGACTGACTGTATGTTTCTACACGGTTTAGGGTTTAGGGTTGAGGTTTCTACCAATCATCGAGGGTCTGAGTTCTCAAAGTTGTCTAATGCACTGCCATGGAGGTTCAAGGGATGCAGGCAAAAAAGAGCAGCTAGTGATTGTCACGACCTCTTTCTATCACTCCAATCCTTTCGAACTTTCGGCACTAAACAGCACAGCCAAACCCCTAAACCCTAAACCCTGAACCGAAATGTGAGGTGCTTGGACCTTCTATGGGTGCCTGGGGAACCGCAGCCATCCGGGATCCGAGAGTCACGGTGTCTTCACTGACGCTGTCCTTGGCTGCTGGCCCCTAAACCCTAAACCCTAGACCCTATCCCTAAACCCTAAACCCTAAACCCTATCCCCAAACCCTAAACCCTAAACCCTGAACCCTATCCCTAAACCCTACCCCTAAACCCTAAACCCAAATTATGAAGGCCCAGTACTGTGAGGTCTCAAGCTGTGCAAGTTAACCTCTGGACGCATTATTCTCGGGGTTTAGGGTTTAGGCGTTTAGGCGTTTAGGGGTTTAGGGTTGAGGGTTAAGGGATTTCAGGCAGAGATCTCAGGCTTTTCGGGAGTTTAGGGTTTATGGGTTGCGGTTCCCCGGCCATACTAACGCAGGGGCCTAGATAAGTACCAACATCAATTGGGGCTCCTTTTGATAATTTAGGGTGTGGCGTTTATGGTTATAGTAACCCTAAAACCCTAAACCCTATACTCTAAGTAATATACCCCCCCAAACCTTATTCTAACGATGAAGGACCCCGCCTTGGAGTCTCAGGTTGTTTGGGCAGTTTAGTCCATACTCGCGCCTAAATCCCATAATCCCATATCAGTATTAGCATTCGTAATAACGATAATTAAAATTTTCTTTTGAATGATTGCAAGTTACAAGTAATCATCATCATCATCATCATCATCATCATCACACCAATCATAAGCTAACGCTAGGCGACGAAGACACCGGGCGTCTGCTGCTCGGAAGGTTCCACGCCGGTGCCCCAAACATTTACCTGGTTTGGGGTATACCTGGGCCCTAAGAAGCCCACCTATTTTGGGGTTCCTTTTTCCCGTAAACCCTAAACCCTTTGCAAGTCCTTGAAAAGATAGGTTATTTAGCTTTCAGGGTTTGGGTTTAGGAAATCCGGGAGGGACCCTCAACCCGTGAAGCCCAACTTCAACCACAAGTCTAGCTTACATACCTATAGTCTCCATTGTAGTTCCTTTTTTTGGTTTAACCAAATTAAGGATCTTATAAGGTAACCCCAAAAAGGAACTACAATGGAGACTATAGGTAGGCTTTTATAATTCAGTCAGTGCATTTGAGCGCAGGGCAGCCTCAGATTGAAAGCCAACAGTGAATCAGGGTGAGATGTGGTATAAGTTTGTTGGAGTGGAGGCCAACGTGGGCTTCGTTCTTTCTGACGACAGTGACGACCTCGTGGAGTTTGACTATGATTTTTTCATGGAGTGTTCCGCACACCAAACCTCCCAAAGCCTTACAGCCGAAGCCCTACCTCAACCCATTGTAGGTAATTGCAATCACAGGTAGGACCTAATTAAGAAGCATTCCGAGGTTGTCAGATTGGTACGAAGTCTAGTTTTCAACCCTTAGCCCCAGCGCCCACACCCCCCCGAGCCCTAAATCCGAAGTTCCCAGAGCCGAAAGCCTAGACTCTAAACCCTACATGGGAGTTTCCGAAAATAAGGGGTACCTTATTTTGGGGTCCTTGCAACAAGGATCCTACTATTTAGGGTACTATATTAGGGTCCCCTATTGTCGGAAACCCCCTATATGCTGAAAACTTATGGTTTTTAGGGGTCACCTCATGCCCTGGACCTTTCAAGCCAGGGCTTGCGGATCTACCACAAGGGATGCAAAGAAGGGTTTTGTAAAGCCAAGAGGATATTGGAGTAAGAAATTACGGATTCGGACGTAGGCTGGAGGTTTCGGGTTTAGGGTTTAGGGCTTAGGGTTTAGGGTTTGGGGTTTGGGGTTTAGGGTTTAGGTTCAGGTTGAGGGCTTAGGACGTACGATTCAGAGTGTAGGTGTTGTTTTTGGTTGAGGACGGCGAGCTAAAGCCGTCCCTGCCAAGGCCCATTCCACCAAGAACGACATGCCCGAGCTGGTGAGAGTCGTTGCCAAAGAGGCACGAAATCCATGATTCCTTGCCGTCCGGTGTTCTTTGTTTTGGAGCTTAACCCTGTGAGCAAAACGGTAAACCTTCCTGAACCCCTTAACTCAGAACCAGCGACCTTAAGCCCTGAATCCTCTAAACCCTCAACCCTGAACCCT